CCAGTGTCAGCATCCTGGTTGGGGCTCCCAAAGCCAACACGAGTCAACCCAACGTCACCCAGGGGGGGGCCGTCTACCACTGCCCATGGCCCCCCAGCACTGACTGCACCCCCATTGACTTCGACCACATCGGTAAGGGATGGGGATGGGATGGGCACGAGGGTGGGGGCAGCGATGGGGACAAATGTATGGGCAGGGGATGGGGATGGGGAGAAGGATATGGGGTTGGCAATGGGGACAAGGATGGGACGAAGCCGTGGGGTGGGGAGGGACAAAGCAGAGGGAGAGGATGTGGGGGCAGGGATGGGGATGGCTGAGCACGGGGGTGTGGGGTTGGCAATGGGGACAGGGGTGCGAACAGGGATGGGACAATGCCATGGGGTGGGGATGGCTGTGAGGATGGCTTAAAGGACACGGGGACAGAGCACAGCTGGGTTTGGGGACAGAAGACAATGGGGATGGGACAGTATGTGATCAGCTATGGGGGTGGCACAGGGATAGGATATAGGGACAGGGCACAGCCAGGTATGGGGACGGGCACAGCTGGGGGCAGGAGCTGCAGGCACTGGGCCAGCGTGTCCAGGGGGGCAGAGCCACGTAACCCCAGCACCCCTCTGCCCCCCCCCCCCCCCCCCCCACAGCTTTGTGCCCCCCACGTTGTCCCCCCCTGCGGTGGCCTTGGCCCCATGGCTGAGCGGTGCCCGCTTGGTTAACCATAAACCCAAGGGCACTTTGGGAAGGTGTGCAGCTGAGGTTGGGGTCCTGTGGGTTCTGGGGGGGGGAGGGGGGAGAGGGGGGTCTGACCCTTCTGTGTGTGCTCCATCTCCCACTGCAGGGACCCGCAGCCACCCCAATGACTTTGGGGGCAACAACACTGAAAACCCCGACCCCATGGAGTTCAAATCCCTGCAGTGGTTTGGGGCCACGGTGCGGGCGCACAACGCATCCATCCTGGTATGGGGGGGGGGGGTCTGAAGGAAGGGGGGCACAAGGTTGGGTTATATGTGTATATATGCAGACCCTTCCTTGTGCCCCACGTTTATCTGTGCCCCTCCCTTCCCCCCCCCCCAGGCTTGTGCCCCCCTGTACAGCTGGCGCCCCATAAAGGATGAGGGGGGGCGAGACCCGGTGGGCACC